GCATATCCGATCCAACTGAATTTGACCAAATCAGTTTTTTTTCAATTGATAATTTTCAATCAAATAATCTCTTAAAACAGTTAAATCTCTTATCATTTGTTGATTCATTATTGAAAACCTAAGAAAGGGCACGTTCGAGTTATTGTCCAAAGAATTTTCCCTTTCAGAGAGATCATATCTTCATGAAGGGGTTCCCATTTGCTGTTTAGTCAAACTGGGAGGGGCTAATAGTTTTCAGAAGTTACTTTTCTGTGTTTTACCAGGGGAACAGTATCAAACAGTGGATAATGTCATGTCTGTAGAAAAACCACATTGCCTGCTAAGTAAACCACATCACATGACATTGTATTTGAGTTGGAGAGAATGTATCAACATAGTTCCATGGCAGAGTCATTTGGCTGGGAGCGCGGACAAGTAAAATGCAGCTCTTTGCAGTTTTATGCTATCCTTAGCTGGGAAATTCTGCTGTGTCACACTGTATGTCAATTCATCATACGCCAATCCGCTGTCACTCATAACCCCCCTGTCTAGCCGCAGACGGCAGTATTCTCCCATCTCTGATGACCAGGCACACGGATGAGTATGGATTGTATAATTTTATGAGCTTGGAGTTCAAGAACAGCCATGATAATCCTTCAAATTTCCTGTAGCCCTTCTCCCTGCCCACTGCATTTTGGACTGCACAACAAGTCAATGTTTTATACATGGAGACACTTCTGTGTCTGCAGGAAGGAATGTTCTGTGGTTTCATCAGTCCACTTGTCTTATTCCTGGGAATCTGGTCCTAATCAGGCTCCAGCCTATAGTCAGATCACAGTATAACATATATGCCATATGCCTATGTGTATGCAAATTATTTCTGGAAACTATCAAGGTAGTTATTGGGTAATTATTGGGTAGATTAATAGGTAATCATACATGCACAAGTATCATGCAGTAAAATTGTGCAGTTGTTTGCTGTATTATAATAATTATTATTATACAGGATGTATATAGCCCCAACAGTTTACACAGTGCTTTACAAAACTGAGGGAGACAATACAATTAACAATACAATTTCAGTACAAGAGGTGGGAGGGCACTGCTCGTGAGAGCTTACAATCTAGTAGGGGGCAAGTGATACAAAAGGTAATAACTGTTTGGGATGATTTAATGGAAGAACTGAAAGTACTGTTGTATCGAGGTGGTAAAGGCCTCCCTGAAGAGATGAGTTTTGCAAGGATCACCTAAAGGTAGGAGATAGGCAGACAGATTGGGGTAGGGAGTTCCTGAGGATAGAAGACACTCTGTAAAAATCCTGGAGGCGAGCATGTGGATGAGGTGACAAGAGAGCTAGAGAGCAGGGTTCCGGCGGAGATGTAGATGGCTTTGTAGGTTATTGTTACTATTTTGAATTTTATACGTTTAAGAAGTTGTGCCAGTGGAGCGATTGGCAGAGGGGGGTGGCGGACACTGACCGGTTGGTAAGGTGGATGAGTCTGACAGCAGTGTTCATTAGGGATGCACCAATATATCGCGCGTCCAAACATATCGACCGAAAATGGCACTTTTGGCCAAGTGCCGAAAGTGCCATTTTCCTGCCGATACATTGGCGCATCCCTGCTTTCTGTCCTCCCTGCTGGGCGCTGCTCTGTGTCCCAGCGGGGAGGAGAGAAAGTGTGACAGCGTGCCGAGCGCTGCAGGAGGAGAGCGCTGTGAGCGGCCGGCGTCTCTCCTCCCACACCGCTCAGCCTCCTACCACAGTCCGGCAGAGCGGTGTGTGGGCAGAGACAGCCCGCGCTGTCACAGGAGGTTGAGCTCTCCTCCTGCACCGCTCGATCAGCCTCCTGTGACAGCGGTCAGGAAGGACAGCAGATGCAAACACTCAGTGATAATTGAGGACATGGTATGGTTACTATATCCTCAATTATGAATGAATGGGAAGTGATCTACATCACCTGTTCATTCATAATTGTGGTTATAGTAAACACACTATGTTCTCAAGTTATGAATGAACAGGAACACTCAGTATAGAGGATTCCTGTTCATTGATAACTGGGGATACAGAGAAAGAGAGGACTTTGTTTTTAATAAAAAATGAATTAATAAAAATAAATAAATATAAAAAATTAAAAAGTTTATAAAAAATAAATAAAAATAAAATCTTTGAAAAATTTGAAAAAATTAAAATAAAAAACATTTTCGGTTTCAGTTTCGGCCTAACAATTTTTTTATTTCGGTTTCCTTTCGGTTTTGAAATTTCCATTACGGTGCACCTCTAGTGTTCATGATAGACTGAAGGGGGTATAGCCTGCTGAGTGGTAGGCCAACAAGGAGGGAGTTACAGTAGTCGAGGCAAGATATTATAAGGGAGTAAATAAAAAAACTTTGCAGTATCATTTGTTAAGAAGGAGAGGAGGAAATATTATAAGCTCAGTTTTGGACAGATTTAGTTTGAGGAAGTGGTGTGACATCTATGTCGATATGTCAATGAGTAGGTTAGTGATGCGTGAGGAGATAGAAGGGGGGAGCTGAGGGGTAGAAAGATATATTTGGTAGTCGTCAGCATAGAGATGGTAATGGAAGCCATGGAACTTATCATCTGACCAAGGGAGGAGGTGTAGATAGAGAATAAAAGGGGTCCAATGACAGAGCTTTGGGGGACCCCTACAGATAGAGGAAGAGGAGAGGAGGAAGTAGAGTTATAGGTGACCCTGAAGGTGTGCTGGGATAGGTAGGAGGTGAACCATGAGAGGAACAGAGTCTTGGAGGCCAAGGGATTGGAGTTTATTGAGGAAGAGTGGGTGGTCAACTGTGTCAAAAGCAGCAGAAAGGTCCAGGAATATGAGTACAGAGTAGTGGCCATGGGTTTTAGTGGTTAGTATATAGTGAGTTTTAGAAGGGTAGTTTCTGTGGAGTTGGTTCCAAGGTACACTGCGCTAGGAATAGGTTCTAAATAGCTTATAGGACCAGCAGCAACTATGTATGAAAAAGATGTCTGATATGGTAAATTAGTTGCGCTTGATCTAAATAAATGTGGATTCCAAAGTGGAAAATATCATGAATAACACACGAACATCTATACAAATAACCAAATATTCTATCCTAATGTGTGATCGATACGTGTATGATCAAACCCTCAATATGGACCAATCTCTTAGTTCCAAGAGAGAGCCATAATCAGTGTGGAAATATCCAAAATTCTTATTTAGACATGTGATACGTGAAACTTGTATTCTTCCACCCCACATCAATAATTGTTGTGTGAAAAACGCCCCACGATCACTTAGTGTGGCTCTGAGTAATCTGTGACAAACGTAACACAAAACAAATACAGCAACCTAGTTGCAATCCTTATATGAATAACCCGTGGGTTTAACACTCTTGCATGTGTGAACTTGATCTAGTAGACAACGGTAGGGATTTCAAATACCTAATCGTGAAAATATAATCTTCCTAATAATAATATGCACACACTCGTTAGTGTCTTAGTGACCAAAAATAGGCAGTGAATAAATATTAATTAATAAATCAAATATATGTTCTAATTCTCCCCTCAAAGTGTATACAGGGAGTTAAATAATATAAAAACCAACCATGTACCAACAAGCAAAAAAAAATAAAAAAAAATATAAAAGAATAAAGCGGAATAGTCTCAGCAATATAGCAAGCAGTCAATTTTTAAGAATTTTTGCAGTTTATATGAGACTGGATACGAACGGTTAATCTCCTTCTCTCAGTGATATTCAGAGGAATAATCCGTTCGGTTCCCTGATAAATATCCTCCAAAATATGACCAACCAGTCACTGATTGAGAAAAAAACGGAACATTCCAAGTTTCTAATAATCCATCTTCTCCTTTAGTCTCCAAGTCAGGCAATCAGATGTAATTTGAGCTTAAATCTTGATTGTTCCAACGCCTCAACGCCCGCACCGGCAGCATGTATCTATAGGTATCTCACAAGGGATACAAATGGAGAAAGGAGGCGAACACTCTAAGTGCAGTGTGGAAATATCCAAAATAAGAATTTTGGATATTTCCACACTGATTATGGCTCTCTCTTGGAACTAAGAGATTGGTCCATATTGAGGGTTTGATCATACACGTATCGATCACACATTAGGATAGAATATTTGGTTATTTGTATAGATGTTCGTGTGTTATTCATGATATTTTCCACTTTGGAATCCACATTTATTTAGATCAAGCGCAACTAATTTACCATATCAGTTTCTGTGGAGTGTTGCGGATGAAAGCCAGATTGAAAGGGGTCAAGGAGGTTAGCAGTAAGGTGGCCGCTCAGGCGGTTGTAGACCAGGCGTTCAAGAATCTGGGGAGATGGGTCTCAAATTGTTCAGACTGGTGGACCCCATTGGGGGCTTTTTTTAAAATAGGGTTTACCAATGCTTGTTTTAGAGGTATAGGGAGGATGCCAGTGGAAAGGGAGAGGTTGAAGATGTGGGTAAAAAAATCAAAGTAGATTATGCTCTTCAGTGGGGATCTATAGCCAACAAGTTGTTTCTTTTTTTATTTTCGATAAAGTAGGGAATAAAAGGAGCCCACCAGTTGTTTTTTTTTAGTTTTTTTTTTCTTTCTTGCCTGCTGCGTGTGTGGGTGTCTATTAGAGACATTTTCCCTCACTTCCTGTCCTAGAAACACAACAGGAAATCAGATCAAATCTCTCTAGTGAGGGGAAAACCCTCCTTTAGAAAGTTGTCGCTTAAACAAATATCTCCTTTGAGATATTTCTCTTTCATCTTCTCTTGTGGTGACACCTGTAAAATATTGGATTTGCATTAAATTTCCATTCCAGTGACAATTTTACCAGGAAGAATAAAGGGGGTGAATCTTCCCAATAGAAACCTAGACTGCTTTACTTAAACAAGCATTTACCCTTACTCTATGTAGGGGAGAGGGGTACACCCAAAATGTATTTAAAAGGTAAACTGTTCCGGTTTAAATAAAATAAATCTCACAAGATATTCCTCAGTTAGGTAACACTTTTTCTGTTGATTAATAGGGAATGGAAGGAAAACCAGGAAAACAAGGAGAGAAGGGCAAACCAGGACGTAAGGTAAGGCCAGGCATCTGAGGTATATTGTGCCATGCTCTTGAATGACATGTTAGGTTATCTTGATTGGTTATTCTGTGGGCTGTTTAACAGGGAAACAAAGGTTTTCAAGGACACCTTGGGGAGACGGGTTCTCCAGGCAAACCAGGACCTACAGGAAATCAAGGACCAAAGGGAAGCAGGGGAACTCTTGGACCAGTGGTAGGTACACAGTTGGCACGTAAGCTCTCATATTCTGTACACTGTACCTACAACCTATGGTTCAAAGACCAAATCTAGTCAACATTTTTTTCTTTAGTTTAACATAGAACGAGAAAACATTGGAACCTCTGTGTCCCCAGTGAGGAGATTTCCCTCACTTCTTCATGACCTTACAGGAAATGAGAAGTATCTCCTCAGCAGGGACACAGAAACCATCCAGAAAAATACAATAAGTCCTCACTCTTCCCCCCACTAAGCAAAAGTGCTGTAATTGTCCCCATTGGGGAGACTCTGCGCATTTTCTGTCCAGGTGGCCACAACAGTAAAAAAAAACTTGTAGGGATTCCAACACAGTGAGGTTCACCTTTGCACCTCTCTGTCTTGTTAGAGAAATATTTTAGTTTGAAAACTTTATATAGTATGTATGTATAACTGATGCATAGGTCATTGTGTAATTTAAGAAGATCCATTTACAAAAGAGCATGAGTACTAATCTCAATTCTTAAAGGGTATTTAAACCCCAAAACAGACATTTCATGTAGTGCTGTTTCCTGTTTTTAGATGCACTTGCATCATTTTTCTTTTTCAGGCATTTTTTCCTTTATTTTCACCTGGTAATCCTGCAGATAATGCACTTCCTGCCCTAGTCTGGCTACACTCAGTCCTTCACTGTGGAAGCTATGATTGTCACACTAGGCTGCTCTCCTGATATGGGACATTTGTAGTTTACAGAATACAGCTTGGAAGGTACAATTGTTTGACCTTGCCAGAAATGCAGTGAATTAAACTCTAAGCACAAACAGTGGTGTCTGTACTTGCTGAAAATGTTGTTTGCCTGAAAAATAAAAACTAATGCAGCAGCAACCAACAACTGGCAAGCTGCAATATATAAAATGTGTGTTATTGGGTTTAAAGCAACCCTCTCACTATTTCTGGTGGCCCATGTCATAAAACTCCAGATCTCCAGCTGCTGGAAGTATCTGACATTTTGTTGTATGCCAAATATAGTCACCAGAGGATATCTACTGACCACCATTTTTGTCCCTTACGGATCACTGCTATTTTTCTCAGAATAGGATTTTGAAGTCCTTACAGCTCATGAGGCCTCAAGTCTAAATATACAAATGTTTATGTTATTAAAACACAGGCTTACGTTAAGAAGTCACTTTAGGGACTAAAGAATTGACTGGTGATTCTTTGTTTCAAAAGGGATCTCCGGGCAGGATGGGGGCACAGGGAGAACCAGGAATACCCGGCTATCAGGTAATTTGTTTCTTTTCATTCTATCATAGTGGCTATAATTTATTTTAAATTACCCATTTTTGTGAGATGTGAACAGCGCCATTGAAATGCATTGGACGAGCTACATTGAGCTGATGTTTGAGCTGAAATCGTGCTACAATTCGCTCAGTGTGAATGGGGTCTACAGCTAATGGGTTACAGCTAAGGAAGGTGCCATCTTAGCAGTTGCCATGGTGCTGTACATGTGATCAGCTATGAAACCAACCATTTAAGGGCTTAAAAGTTCGGTTGAAGTAAACACACTGTTACTTGGTATGCCTTTATATTATTTGATAGTTGGCATGCCTTAAAAGTAACTATTTTGAAAGACATTCAATTGGTAAGTAAAGTTCATTTTTAAAGTCAAGGAGAAATATGCTGACTTCCGTCTGAAAGGGCAGCTTGCCTGGCTGCTATGGTGACATACAAGTTTCAGGACTTTCTGAGTTTGACCCCATGCAAGAATGCAGATCAGGAAGGTCAGAGTGATGTCAGACATCCTGTTCTGCATTCTTGCTGCAAATTCCTGACTCAGAGGGTCAGAATTCAGCCAAACGGACAGCATTTTCAGAGTGAGAAGTCATCAATGGCAGCCTGCATACTTCTTTTCTTTATAGCGCACTTGTAATATTGGGGAACCTATGCTACCACAGTGACACGTGGGTAAAGCAGACACTACCTGTTTTATCATTCTGACATTGTTGTATTTTCGAAATGTTAAGCCCTGCCTCCATGCTGATTAGTCCCCATACACCTATGTAGGTGCTATTTTTAAAGTGACAACACAATGTAAAGTCTATTCACTCCCGACGCAAAGCAATCATCCACAGCCTTTTCTTCACTTAATTAAACCTGATCATACATGGGGCAGCTCCACAACGCAGGGAACCTTGATATCTATACGAGAAAGAGACAACAAAGAGCGCCCACTCCATTTGAAGAATCGTTTATTTATATATGACTAAAAGAAGTAATGTACTCACAAGCAAAGTATAAAACCAAGCATATCCAGTAGTTTCTTTCTATGGAGGCTTAACAGCCAATCGAGCACCACAGCGCTGCTCAATCAGCTCTCAGAGAAGCTGACTTCCAGCAATGAGTAGACAGGGTTAACGTGTTTCTAGGGCACACCTCAGAACCTACTGAAAGTGATGTTAAAGTCAGGAGTTAAACCTTATAAATGCATATACCGTAAGTACCCTAACTATTAAACATGTATCTTATTTGTGTATCACTGGGCCGTTGATCCTCAAATCATCTCTGAATTGGTTCTGACATTGTCCTTCCTTCTGGGGGGTGGCTACTTTTGTGCCCCATGGTCCCTGTGTGTGTTGTAAAGTAGTCACCACTTCAAGCTCACTCTCATGATGGACTACAATCTCAATACAAATTAGTAAGTGAGTGACACACAAATAAGATACATTTGTGTTAATAGTTAAGGTACTTGAATGCATTTTTAAGGTTTAACTCCTGAGTTTAGTGTCACTTTCAGCTCCGCCTCTTTTAGCAGTCCTTCAGCCAAAAGGATTGCTAAAAGGTGCAGAGCAAATAGTCACTTGTTACAACGCCTTGCTGGTCACATGAGTGAGACGACGTTCAGTCAGTGACACAAGCGTTGCAGATTCTCTGTCCGTGATCAAGCAATGTCTAGCTTATCTGGGCAGCAAGGGAGGGAAGCGTGCCACGGCCATTAAAAGGTTAGTTTGTGATCATAATGGTGATATGAGGCGCTACATGCCAGCTGGCCTACTCGCACCTAATTTTCATCATCTATCATTGCTGTGATGCTGTGGTAGCACACAGGATTGGAAAAAGACCATTGTGTAGTACTTTCAAAACCTTAATTGTCACATTATTAACCAAGTCCAGAGTCTACCTTCCTTTCACTCCTCCTTCACAGAATTTATTGACTGCTTATGTAGAGGTAGATACTATCTAAAGCAGGGGCGCCCACAATTTTTCGTCTGGAGATCTACTTTTCAAATGACGAGCTCAATGAGATCTACCAACGAAAAAACACTTGCATTCGGGGCGGGAGGGTGCATGACGGTGCACTGAAGTCAATGGCACCGCAGCCACGCCCCTCGCCCGCACCTGGAACGCAGGCACTGCGAGCTGCAAAAATGCTGCAAGCACTATTTTTGCAGATTTCACTGGACCGGAATGCAGGCACTAATGTGCTTGTGTTCCGGGTGCGGGCGATCGCACTGTGGGGGGGTGGGGGGGCATGGCTGCGGTGCCATTGACTTCAATACACCCCCCCGCCACTGAACGCAGGGAGTTGGCCGGCTTGCATTCCAGTGTGTTCTAGAGGCGCCGGCATCCTGTCCTCCTGCGGTGCTCATGTGGCCGACATTACACACGGGGAGATGTGTCCGGCCCCCTTTCCGTCTGCGGCATCTAACACATTCAGCCGGCAGCCACACAAGCACCACGGGAGCATAGGCGTAGCTAGCTCCTTTTGCGTCTGAGGCAAAAAAAAAGCATGCCCCCCCCCAACAGGTGTGTGACATCACCCAGCCTCCAGGATTTTGTTTTATTTATTTTTTTATTATTATTTCTTATTTAATTTTAATTTTTTTTGTTGGGGGGGGCTTCTGGGAAATATTAGGGGACTAAACAGCCCCCTGATATTTCCCTTTTGCCCTTTTACAATAGAAAAATAAATTGGGGACACAAAGTCCTCTGAATGAATGAAAAGCACAGAAACTATTTACTATCATCCAGTTTCTGAATGGGAAGGAGCCTCTGTACAGAGTGCTACTCCCCATTGCGAAACTCATGAATGAACAGGAAGTGATGTAAAGCACTTCCTGTTCATTCATAACTGAGGACACATAGTACTATGTGTCCCTAGCTATTTACAAACACTGGAGTGGTCAGCTGATCGCTCCAGTGTTTGTCCTGCACAGAGGATCGGTACATATAGGCCACTCACACAGGGGGGGTTGCAACTCCTTCTCTGGATCCCCGATGCTTTCCCAGGCAGAGGCAGCGGGGGATCCGAGGAGAAGTGAAGGAAGCACTTAAGCCGCCGGAGGGCGAAGGAAGGAGCCGCTGTCACAGCAGCATGTGCAGTGAGGAGAGAGAGAGCTGCCGGCTGTCAGATCCAGGCCGAGCGGCTTTCTCTCTCCTCACTGCTCGGCCATGCTGCTGTAATAGCGGCTCCCTCCTCCGCCCCCCTCCCCTCC